AGCCCTGGGGTAGTGGCGGCGGGGCTCCAGGGGCTATTTAAAGGGCTTGGGTTGGGTAGCAGCAGCCGGAGCCCCGGGCCCTTTAAATGGCCCCCAGAGCCCTGCTGTTGGAGCCCTGGGGGTTGCGGCGGCAGCAGCCGGGGACCCCTGGGGCTCCGTTGGCAATTTAAAGGGCCCGGGGCTCCTCTGCGGTTGCAGCGGCTGGGAGCCCCTGGCCCTTTAAATCGCCGACGGAGCCCCCGGCTGCCGCTGCTACCCTGGGGGCTTGGATGGCGATTTAAAGGGCCTGGGGCTCCCACTGCCGCTACCCTCTGGGGCCCTTTAAATCACCACCTGAGCCCCGCTGCTGGAACCCCACGGTAGCGACAGCGGTGCTCCGGCAGTGATGTAAAGGGCCGGGGGCTCCCGGCTGCCGCGGAGCCCCCAGCCCTTTAAAGCTCGGCCACAGCCTGGCATCCGGGAGCCCCCAGGGCTTTGGCAGTGATTTAAAGTGCCCCCAAACCCCAGGACTCCCAGCCGCCTCTGCAGCTGGTAGCTCCGGGGGTGATTTAAAGGGCCCGGGGCTCCCCGCTTCAGCCGGAGCCCCGGGCCCTTTAAATCTGGATTTAAAAGGCCTGGGGATTTAAAGGCCCCACCTCTTCCAGTAGAGGCTACGTCTCTTCTGGTTAAGGCCCCGCCCACCTCCTCAGGACTCCGAAGCACTGGTAAGTCCTTTAAGTTACTTTCACCCCTGCCCTGCACTCTGTCACAGGCATTTTAAGCATGCTTTTGTATGTGCAAATAGAGATGTATAAAAGAACAGGTTAAGTATTCATTGCAATTAGAAATAAGATTGTCTAAGCAAAACAGTGTATAGAATATATTATAAAAAATGTAGGTTTTAGTTTTGTGCTAGCAGTTGCATATTTCCTTGCTTATTATGATTTTTATTCCTTCATGGTTGTGCCATCCAATTATTTCCCCAGTCCTACAAAGATTTAAGCATAAGCTTAACTTTATGCACTGTGAGTAATATGCCTGCATTTGCACTATGTAGTGAGGATCCCAATAGCTCTTTTTCTTTTATTCAGTGAGTAAGCTCTAACAAAAAACAAAACAAAACAGACAGACAAATCTAATGATGCTGAGGTCAATATCGTGTTTATTTGAAAAGAGCCTTTGTTCTCTTCGGAATCCCTTTCTTATTCACAATTTACTTCAATTTGGGGTTATTTCAGTAAGAACAGCGTTCCATTAATTTTATGGGAATATGCATCAATGGTGTAACTAAGATTTGTTACCTTAAAACTATGAGCACTAAAAAAGTGTGGATGAGCTTCCATAAAGTTCTATACACCTACCCTTTTATCTGGTTAGATTGTTTGTCCTTAGCTGCATGGGATTCACTTGTATGTGATTCAAAAGGCCTTTCTTCCTCGGTGTTATTTGAATCCTAACTTGGTTAAGTATGGTTTTACTATATTCAAAAACTTCCACTGTGTCTATTTTATCATTGTTCTGTTATGTGTTTGGTCACAAATGGTTGGAATCTCATTTGTGGTCTCTCTCTCTCTCTCTCTCTCTCTTTTTTTTTTTTTTAACTTTGGAAAAGGAAATTTTAAATGTTTTTGAATCCTTTTCAAAGGGTCTTCAACATCAGACATAACCTCAGGTTTGGTTTGGAGGAGGTGGAGAACAGATAGTCCCTCACATACTACCAAATAAGTACACAGAGATTTTATATAATTTATTTAATTTACCTGCCTACATTTCAGGTGCCCAGTTACACACCTAATGATGTTGAATATGCACGTGCATGACTAAACAAATTATCATATTCCAAACCCTGCCTGCTTATTTTCATGCTCTCATTTAGATGAATTATAGTTCTGTCACTCCCATTTCTCTTGTTGAAAATATTAACATGTATGTTAGCACAATTGGTGTGCCCAGTTAGGCATATTAATGTCAGTTTTAGGGATGCAACACCAAATAAACTCTTTGAAAATTTGGTGTTTTGCATTCTGTTAATAGCTTTACTGTTAATGGTGATGCTGTATTAACCCAGGATCATCTAAATTATGTAATATTTAGCTGTGTAGCAGCTACAGTCCCCAGTCAAGATTGGGCCCCATTCTAGGCACTACACAAACATACATGAAGACATTGGACCCTATCCATAGAGCTTATGATTCATTACTGTAAAAAAAAAAATTATTTTGTTCATTTAAGCAACAATTTTACACATTTTAGTGTGAAAAGGGTAATGCTATAATTAAAAGCTTTTCCTAACTCTACTGTGTGGGCAACATTTCAAAACATGGACTGATTGTGTTTTTCCTTTTTTGAGTATCAACGGTTGCTCTATAAAATAGAAGCCAAGTTAGGTTTCTATGTCAAATTTTCCTTTTAAAATGAAGTAACTTTGTACTGTACAATGCTTGCTTTTAATAGCATTTATATTCAAACTAAATTATAAGTTAAAAATATTCTTGGAAGATAAACTTTTAAAACATGGATACCTAACTTACTGAACACTGCATCTGGAATTGCTTTAGAATGGTTTATATTTTATCTTTTTCAGAGATGTTTCACCTTTATGGATAGGGGTTTCGTGTTCAAGCAAATCAATAACTACATCAGCTGCTTTGCTCCAGGGGATCCAAAGGTACTCCACTCCTTTAATAACTTAAAAATGTGTTTCTCTTTTTGGTACACCTATGTAACAAATTGTGTTGACATCCCAGAATGTTCTTCAGTTACAGTCAGGCATATTTTCAGACTAGTCTCCCATTCCTGTGCAGTCAGTGTGTTAAGTTTTGCCTTCAAGACACCTTTGGTATTTTTGCCTCTCAGAATAGTGGGATTGGCTGTGACATCTTCAAAGAGGAAGAGTGTGACTGGTACAATTCTTTAGCATCCCTAGCTGGAAAATGGATGAAACAACATCAATGAGCACTTTATGCAAGACCATGAAAGTCTCAAGGAACAAATTGACAATAATTGAAAGCAAGCCCTCTGATATCTAAGATGTTCCTACAAATCTACGACCCTTCTAATTGCATGTGCCATGCCATCAAGGCACTCACTTTTTTTTAAAGAGGTGCATATGATCTCTGCCAGGATCTCAAACAACTCTCAAATCTTGCGTGCCACACTACATAGACTTGATAAAAGTAAGAAATGTAGCACAGAATTAGACCTGGCTTTCAAATGCTGTATTGTGCTAAAGAGTTCTCCTGGGTCTGCATGGCATGACGTATAATCCCTAGGATTGTAGATTTGTAAAGGAGAGAGAAATCACTAGTGTTAAGAAATCTGTTTCCTTTTTAGCTATGCTACCAGAAAATCACTAAATTATTAAATTGTGTAATTTACATCTGAAATATTTTTGCAGACCCTTTTTGAATTCAAATTTGAATTTCTTCGAGTGGTGTGTAACCATGAACACTACATCCCTTTGAATCTACCTATGCCATTTGGAAAAGGCAGAATTCAGAGATATCAAGGTAATTCCACATTTTTAACTATATATAAATGTTAAAATTTTAAAAAGGACAGGTCAGAGTTCGTAGCAGTTGTGGAACAAGTCAAGGTGGCAAGAACTGTCTTGCAGGCTGCCCTGCATGTGGCGGACTCACCTATTCGTACCATGTCCTCTGCCATTGGCATGAGAAGGTCATCATGGCTACAAGCGTCAGGCCTCCCCCCAGAGGTCCAACAGACCATCCAGGACTTGCCCTTTGAGGGCTCAGGACTGTTTTCGGAGCAGACTGACTCCAGGCTCCATAGCCTTAAAGATTCAAGGGCAACTTTGAAATCTTTGGGGCTACATACACCAGTTCCTCAGAGGAAGCACTTCAAACCCCAGCCACCTCCTCCTCACTTCTGCCCTGCCCAACATAGGTAGGACTCTAGGAAGCGAGGCAGGAACAACAGATGCAGACCTTTTCAGCCCCCATCTGACCAGGGCCAGAACTCGGCGAGGCAGTCCTCCAGCTCCAAGCACGCCTTTTGAAGGTGCGTCGGGCGGCGACACACCAGCCCAGAGCCCGGATCCTTCTCCCTGCTTCCTGAACCATCTTTCCCATTTCTGTTGTGCGTGGGGCCAGATAATCTCAGACCGCTGGGTGCTGCTCATGTTAGAAATGGGATATTCTCTCCAATTCTGTTCCTCCCTTCCTCGTCCCTCTTCAGGGATCCCTCTCACCAGCAGCTTTTTTTGACAGGAGGTGCAATCACTCCTACGCATAGAAGCAGTAGAGGAGGTTCCTTAGGAGCTAAGGGGAAAGAGATTCTATTCCTGATACTTCCTAATCCTGAAAGCCAAAGAGGGTCTGAGATCCATTCTCGACTTGCGAAATCTCAACAGATCCGTGAAGAAGCTGAAGTTTCGCATGGTATCTTTGGCCACCATCATTCCCTCCCTGGATCCGGGGAAAACAATGCAAAGTAATGTACATTGGAAAACATAATCCCAACTATACATATAAACTCATATACATATAAATTGATGGGGTCTAACTTAACTGTTACCACTCAAGAAAGAGATCTTGGAATCATTGTGGATGGTTCTCTGAAAACATCCACTCAATGAGCAGCAGCAGTCAAAAAAGCTAACAGAATGCTGGGAATCATTAAGAAAGGGATAGATAATAAGATAGAAAATATTATATTACCTCTATATAAATCCATGGTACGCCCACATCTTGAATACTGCGTGGAAAAGGTTCAGAAAAGGGCAACAAAAATGAATAGGGGGTATGAAACAGCTTCCATATGAGGAGAGATTAATAAAGCTGGGACTTTTCAGCTTGGAAAAGAGACAGCTAAGGGCCGGATATGATAGAGGTCTATAAAATCATGACTGGTGTGGAGAAAGTAAATAAGGGAGTGTTATTTACTCCTTCTCATAACACAAGAACCAGGGGTCACCAAATGAAATTAATAGACAGCAGGTTTAAAACAAACAAAAGGAAGTATTTTTTCACACAATGCACAGTCAACCTGTGGAACTCCTTGCCAGAGGATGTTGTGAAGGCCAAGATTATAACAGGGTTCAAAAAAGAACTAGATAAGTTCATGGAGGATAGGTCCATCAATGGCTATTAGTCAGGATGAGCAGGGATGGTGTCCCTAGCCTCTGTTTGACAGAAGCTGGGAATCGGCGACAGGGGATGGATTATTTGATGATTACCTGTTCTGTTCATTTCCTCTGGGGCAGCTGGCATTGGCCAGTGTAGGAAGACTGGATACTTGGCTAGATGGACCTTCTGTCTGACCCAGTATGGTCATTATTATGTTCTTATGACTGGTACGCCGTCCTTGACTTGAAGGACACATACTTTCATATATTGATAGTCGGCCCACAGAAGATTCCTCAGGTTCGTGGTGAACCACACTCATTATCAGTTTACAGCCCTCCCCTTCGGCCTGTCGGCGCGCCCCCCTCCCCCGCGCGGCGTATTTACCAAGTGCATGGCAGTCATTGCCGCGTTCCTGAGGAAATGGCAGGTGCAAGTGTTCCCGTATCTCGATGACTGGCTGGTCAAGGGCCGCTCCAGGGCGCAGGTAGAAGCGCATGTACATCTGATACGGGTGACTTTTTCAGTGGACCGGGTCTATTGTTGAACGTGCCCAAGTCGACTCTATCCCTTACCTAGAGGATAGAGTTTATGGGAGCAGTCCTAGACTCCACTCAAGCCAGGGCGTTCCTACCGGAGTCTCGCTTCCGAGCCATTTGCTCCATCATAGACAGCTTCAAAGGTTTACCAACCACAACGGCACGGAACTGCTTAAAGTTGCTTGGTCACATAGCCACATGCACATATATGATGCAACATACACGGCTGCAACTCAGACTTCTGTAGGCATGGCTGGCATCAGTATACAGACCAAACAGAGACAACTTGGACAAGATAGTTTTGCTTCCTCCCCAGGTTATCGAGTCCCTACTATGGTGGCTCAATCCCCAAACAGTATGTACAGCAGTCCCCTTCTCCAGGCCCTAGCCCTTGCTGTCTCTAGTCACGGACGCATCAGCATCGGGGTGGGGAACACATCTCGGGGATCTCAGAACTCAAGGCCTCTGGTCCCAGGCAGAGCTTTTGCTTCACATTAATGTGAGGGAGCTGAGAGCGGTTTGCCTAGCCTCCCAAGCCTTCCAAACCCATCTGGAAGTCATGACAGACAATACAACAGCGATGTTTTATATAAACAGACAGGGTGGAGCATGCTCTTCTCCCCTATGCTAGGAAGCCCTCAAGCTCTGGGACTTCTGCATAGCCCACTCCATACACCTAGAGACTTCTTATCTTCTGAGGTCCCAGAACAAGCTGGTGGACCATCTAAGCAGACTTTTCCACAGTCACAAGTGGTCCATTCGCCCAGACAACATCAACAGCATCTTCCAGCAGTGGGGAGTTCCCCAAATAGACCTATTCACGATGAGACTCAACAGGACGTGTCAGCAATTTTGCTCCTTCCAAAATCACAACCTGGACTTGATCGCGGATTCATTTCCCCTCCCCTAGAGGGACCATCTGTTTTATGCATTCCCACTTTTACCACTCATTCACAAGGTCCAGCTCAAGGCCAGAAGGGACAGAATGTCAGTCATTCTAACAGTGCCAGCTTAGGCCCGCCAACCTTGATATACAACGCTTCTGGAACTGTCAGTAGCCACTCCGATCACCCTGCCATTGGTGCAGGACCTAATCACTCCACCTCACAGCGTGGAAGCTTCATGGCTAAACCCCATGGAGTTGGCATGCTCGGAGCCTGTCAGAGAGGTCCTCCTTGGTAGCCAGAAGCCGTCAAATGGAAGAGATTTTCGATGTCGGTACAGAAGGGCACGTCTCTGATGCGGGCATCAATACCTTTCATTCTGGACTACCTGTTGCACCTGAAGTAGTTAGGTCTGGTGGTGTCGTCCTTAAAGGTTCACTTGGCGGTGATCTCGGCATTCTATCCTGCGATTGACGGCCGATCAGTCTTTGCTAGCCTGATGCTGGGCTGCTTTCTCAAGGGACTTGACAGATTATACCCTCAAATTCATCACCCAGTACCGGCATGGGACTTTAACCTAGTGCTCTCCAGGCTGATGGGGACCCTCTTCGAGCCCTTAGCAAGTTGCTCGCTCCTCTATCTCTCATGGAAGGTGGCATTCCTGGTTGCTATAACTGTGACCAGGGTGATGTCTGAGTTTAAGACCTTGACATCCGTACCTCCATACATGGTATTCAATAAGGAGAAGGTTCAGTTATGGCCTCATGCAGCCTTCCTTCCAAAAGTGGTATTCATTCTCACACAAGCCAGGACATTTTCCTTCCAGTGTTCTACCGTAAGCCACATGCCAAGAGCTGGGAGCAAAATCTCCACTCCCTAGATGTTAGGTGGGCATTGGCTTTTTCACAAATCAAACCAGCTCTTTATTGCAATAGCAGGTAGGATGAAGGGTCTCCCTGTCTCATCCCAGAGAATTTCATCGTGGATCGCATCCTGCATTCGAACTTGCTATGACTTGGCAAAGGTGCCAGGCCCGGCTCTGACTGCACATTCCATGAGGACGAGCACCACCTCTGCCACATGTCTGGCGCAGGTCCCTATTCAGGAGATTTGCAGGGCCACAACTTGGTCATCAATCCACATGTTCACCTCGCATTATGCCATCACTCAGCAGGCCAGGGACAATGCAGCTTTTGGCAGAGCGGTGCTCCAATCAGCGAATCCATGAACTCTGACCCCCACCTCAAGGGAAATGCTTGGGAGTCATCTACTTGGAATCAACATGAGCAAGCACTCGAAGAAGGAAAAACAGTTACCTACCTTCTCGTAACTTGTTTTTCGAGATGTGTTGCTCATGTCCATTCCAAGCCTCACCCGCCTACCCCTTCTTACCGGAGTACTCCAACAGAGGAACTGGCGGGTCGTCAGGGGCCTATATACACCACCATGAAGGCGCGACTCCAGGAGGCTCCTCAGCTGACCCGACAGGTACCGCTAGGGGAAAAAGTTTCCAATGACTGTGCACGCGGTGCATACACACCTACTTAGAATGGACATGAGCAACACATCTCGAAGAACAACAGTTATGAGAAGGTAGGTAACCATTTTTTACTCTTAATATTCATTGTTACTAGTTTTCATAAAATTATACTTAAAGCTATGGTTGTTTTGTATTTCACTAACTGTCTAATGTCTACATGTTGAATGAACACATAGTATATATGACAAATGTCTGCCTGACAAAGCCATACAGTTTTGAGGCTAAGTGGGTTTTTGAACAAGCCACGTCTAAACTGTTTTTGCAACTAAGCATGAACAAAGGGGGAAGCCCATGCTTATGTTAATTGGCAAATTAATATTAATTGCACCCTTCCTAAACTACAGCTTATACTCTACTTTCAGACCTCCAGCTCGACTATTCATTAACAGATGAGTTTTGCAAGAATCACTTCTTAGTGGGACTGCTCCTACGGGAGGTGGGAAATGCATTACAAGAATTCAGAGACATCCGGCAGATTGCAATTAGTGTGCTCAAGAATTTGATGATAAAGCATTCTTTTGATGACAGATATTCTTCCAGGGTAAGTTTACTGCTACTCCAACAATTAGGAAGTTAAAAAGTTTAGGTATGTACGTTTTCAGGTTTTATGGATGGGAAAATAGTTAATTTGCATATGAAGTATCAACAGAAAATAAGTGTATCTACAGTGATATAGTTAGTATATAGCTGATAGATATTGATACAAACATAAGGTTCTGAAAACTGATTTGTGTTTTCATTTTTTAATTATGAAAAAAATATACTTATTAAAATAACTGCATGTTACATTTAAACAAATTACAATGTAGACAAATGTAGTCAGATTTTCTTATTTACTCAAAATAATTGCTTTTTAACTTATTTATTTGTAATGACTATTAACCATTATTAATATTCAACTAATTTTGGCTAGTCCTTCCATGATCTATTAGAAGGACAACTAGTTAATATAAGTGGAATTGCCAGTTGTAGTAAATATTATGACTCTGGAGTTTCCTGGTTTTTCTAAAATTTGAGGGCCTTGTGTTGTGGTGAAGCCTCCATGATTTTGTAATTGCACTTCTTAAATTTGCATAGTTTTAGTTTGCCCCTTCCTGTGTATTTAGTTTCAAGCACGTATCATTTTGTTCTCCAGTGGCATGTTGAAATAGTAAGAAAACAAATTCCTTGACCTATAAATTTTAATTGCAGCATTCATTGTTGAATAATAAATATTTAGTGGTCAGCATTGTATATCTGTATGCTAATGAATACATGTTCTAGACCAGCGGTCCCCAAACTTCTGAGGGTTGTGCCACCCCTTAAATCATCCACGCATCCTGGGAGCGGGGCCATGGCTCAGGGGGTCAGGGAGGGACGTGGGCTGGGGATGGGAGCAGGGGCAGGAACGGGAGCAGAGCTGTAGCGAGGCTGCGGTGGGGGCCAGCAGCCAGGCCTGCAGCCAAGAGTGGCTCTGCTCCCAGCCCCAGCCCTGGAATGGAGGAGCAGCCAAGGCTGGGAGCAGGGGCAGGACCCGGATTGGAGCGCACCAAGGCTGAGGACAGGGCCAAGCCCAGGGCCAGGAGCCAGGGACATGGCTGGGGGCGGGACTGGAGCAGAGCTGGGGACAGGGAGGAGCTGGATGGCACCCCTTCCTTGCCCCCCGTGGGGACTGGCCCAGGCCATGCCGTGGCCCCCAGAAGTTCCTCCACGCCCCCCTTGGGTGTGTGTCCCACAGTTTGGGGACCTCTGTCCTAGACCCTTATTTAGCATATCTTTCCTATTGCTGAATATTGGGTTCTGTAATTTGGGGAAGAATGGTAGAAGAAACATTCCCATTAATGGGGTTGTTTGTTTATTTCTTAAATCACTGGTTTCATTATTTGTTTAACAAGAACCGTGAATCTTTGTTCAGAGCCATCAAGCAAGAATAGCCACTTTGTATCTGCCAGTGTTCGGACTGCTGCTAGAAAATGTCCAACGAATCAACGTCAAGGACGTGTCACCTTTTCCTGTTAATCCTTCCAGCAGCGTAAGTGAGCCTGTTTATTATTTGACATTTGGAGTTATTTTTAGCAGAATATATTCAGTAATGTGCATATGGCGTGCTGAATGCTATGGACCTGATCCGTGGGTCCAACCAAGATGCACTTAAATCACCATTATATTTCATATATTCTGGGGTCAGCAGCAGGCTAGCTCAGTCTGGAGCATAAATTAGACCAGCCTTATGGCTGCTCTATTTTAAAATAAGCTTGTAATGGCCCCATAGGGACTCTTATGCCACCAAGGATAGCCAGAGCAGAAGAGACCTCAAGCCATGTTCCCACCTCATTTATGTCAGAAGGACAAAGAAGTGCCATTTATGTCAAAGGACAAAGAAGTGGTATTGGTTTGTGTGTGCCCATATATCTATATCTATCTATATATGTTAATATTTGCTTTTTATAGACCGTATTGGTCATGTTCCTGTATTTTGCTCACTCCAAATTTCCATAAAAGTTTATTAGAATTTTAAGTGCACAGGAAATGCAGCATGTATATATTCATTTCTTTAAAAAAAAAAAAAAAAAAAAAAAAATAAATTTCCTATTTACAGTTACACACAAAAAAACTTTAAAAGAACATTAAGGTTACAAAGTCAGACTTTGAAATTAGGTAATGCCAGAATTATGGTTGTCTGTGCTATCTTTAATTAGGCCCTCTTTTGCATATGCCCTATGATTAGGGTCCTATGTAAATGACAATTTCACAGAAAGCATGGAAATCATGAAAATGACCCCAAATCATGATCATTTAGACGTTTTCCTTTTTAAAAAAAGTTTTTACAACAAAGTCTTTAATACAAAAAAATTAGCTTCTCTACTTTTTTATTCAGAAATTGGCCATTAGTGTTTGAGCTGTCCTGCTAACTAGATCAACAGCTTGCATTTTTGCTATTCTAGACCCTGATCCTGCTAGCATTAACACATGTACTTAACATGCTTGAAGTCAATGGGGCTACTCAACTACATAAAGTTCATCACATACCTAAATATTAGGAGGACAGGGGCTGTAGTTTTTAAAATGAAGACAGAGACAGGAGTCTTTGTTGGTACTTAGCAGACAGCCGATGTTGATCTTTTATTATCTAATTCAGTCAAATGACATAAAAATTACCAAGTGAAACAAAAAAGAGAAGTTCACAATATGTTTTCAGAAGGAGCAATTTCCGGATGTGGTAAACAGAAGTAAGGCAAATCTAAATAAAGTCATGCTAAAAAGTATATGCCCAACTGTTGGCAATATTGAAGTAAACATATTGACATGTTAGAGGTAACCTTAGGTATCCCATGTTTGTTTCAGTGGGATGTGGCATATACTTTGATGTCACCCTTGATTTTAAAAACATCAGATATCACATTCCTGCAGAGAGAGAGAGAGAGATGTAATATGCGCGCACACTAATTTTGGAATGTCATAAAATGTACATTATAATCATTTGTGTTTTATTTCTTTTCTAAACAGAGTGCAAAAGATGAACCACTTAGTATGCCATCTGCAAATCCTTTAGTAACACCACAAAAATCAGGAAACACTTTGGATAACAGTCTCCACAAAGATCTGTTTGGTGTTATCTCTGGCATTGGTAATACATTTTTTTTAATTCTGACCCTTTAAGTCTTAGTGTCATCACATTTTGAAAACATATACTATGAAAAGATTTAATCATTCCTTTCTTGGATGAAACTCAGATGAACTGCCAGTCATGAAAGTGAGAATGCGAAGGACATCACTTCAATCGGTTGTCCTATGTGGGGTTTCTGAGCCTGGAGGGCAGGCAAAAATATATGAATATAGATCCATTCTGGTATAGCCATATCTCTGCCAATTCAGTGTAGCTTATTTATATTTATAGCAGGGCTGTCAAGCGATTAAAAAAATTAATCGTCATTAATCGCACTGTTAAACAATAACAGAATACTATTTATTTAAATATTTTGGGATATTTTCTACATTTTCAAATATGATTTCAATTACAACACAGAATACAAAGTGTATACTGCTCACTTTATGTTTATTTTTATTACAAATATTTGCACTGTAAAAAACAAAAGAAATAGTATTTTTCAATCCACCTAATACAAGTACTGTAGTGCAGTCTCTTTATGATGAAAGTTGAACTTACAAATGTAGAATTATGTACAAAAAATAGCTGCATTCAAACATAAAACAATGTAAAACTTTAGAACCTGCAAGTCCACTCAGTCCTATTTCTTGTTCAGGCAATCACTCAGACAAACAAGCTTGTTTACATTTGCAGGAAATAATGCTGCTTGCTTCTTGTTCACAATGTCACCTGAAAGTGAGAACAGGAGTTCGCATGGCACTGTTGTAGCCGTCGTCGCAAGATATTTACATGCCAGATGCGCTAAAGATTCATATGTCCCTTCATGCTTCAGCCACTATTTCAGAGGACATGTGTCCATGCTGATGACAGGTTCTGCTTAATAACAATCCAAAGCAGTGTGGACCGATACATGTTCATTTTCATCATCTGAGTCAGATGCCACCAGCAGAAGGTTGATTTTCCTTTTTGGTGGTTCGAGTTTTGTAGTTTCTTTATCAGAGTGTTGCTCTTTTAAGACTTCGGAAAGCATGCTCCACACCTCATCCCTCTCAGATTTTGGCACTTCAGATTCTTAAACCTCGGGTCGTGTGCTGTAGCTATATTTAGAAATCTCACATTAGTACCTTCTTTGTCTTTTGTCAAATCTGCAGCGAAAGTGTTCTTAATATGAACAACATGTGCTGAGTCCTCATCCAAGACTACTATAACATGAAATATATGGCAGAATGCAGGTAAAACAGAGTTGGAGACATACAATTCTCCCCCAAGGAGTTCAGTCACAAATTTATTTAACGCATTACTTTTTAATGAGTGTCACAGCATGGAAGCGTGTCCTCTGGAATTGTGGCCGAAGCATGAAGGGCATACGAATGTTTAGCATATCTGGCATGTAAATACCTTGCAATGCCAGCTACAAAAGTCCCATGCGACCGCCTGTTCTCACTTTCTGGTGATAATGTAAATAAGAAGTGAGCAGCATTATCTCCAGTAAATGTAAATAAACTTGTTTGTCTTAGTGATTGATTGAACAAGAAGTAAGACTGGGTGGACTTGTAGGCTCTAAAGTTTTGCATTGTTTTGTTTTTGATTGCAGTTATATAACAAAAAAAATCTACATTTGTAAGTTGCACTTTCACAATAAAGAGATTGCAATACAGTACTTCTATGAGGTGAACTGAAAAATACTATTTCTTTTGTTTTTTACAGTGTAAATATTTGTAATCAAAAATAAATATAAGGTGAGCAGTATACACTTTGTATTCTGTGTTGTAACTGAAATCAATATATTTGAAAATGTAGAAAAACATCCAAAAATATTTAATAACTTTCAATTGCTATTCTGTTGTTTAACAGTGTGATTGAAACTGGGATTAATTGCGATTATTTTTTAATTTTTTAATCGCAATTAATTTTTTTTGTTAATTGTGTGAGTTAACTGCAATTAATCGACAGCCCTAATTTATAGAAGTATGTTCAGATACATCCTTGATTTTGTCCACCTCTTGTTCAGTATGAAGACACTACTTCAGGAAGCAGCAACTTAAGGAAGCTATCAGCCAACCAGTGGGGAAAAGAACCAGCAGCTAATCAGAGACTGCCAGATAGCTGTCGGGAGCATAAGTTCTGCCTAAATGGATTTGGAATTTTTGGCACCTAAACCATCAGTTCTTGCCTGCCTCTCTTTTTTATGCTGCTGAGGAGAAAAGAGAAAGCAGCATTGAGTCTTGCCCCTTCTTGGGGATGGGGTAGCCAAATCCCCACTTTCGGGAGATAATGATAGAAGACAATCATTTAGATGAATTGCTACTGGTTAGCTCCCACAATTGTTTTCCCATTTTATGTGCCGTAGGTGTATTTTCTGGCTCCCCACAGCTAGTTTCAGATTATTTTGGGAATCATAGAATCAAAGTGTTAAAAGGGACCGCCATGGTCATCTAGTCTAACCCGCTACCAAGATGCAGGATTTATTGTATCTAAACCATCCAAGATAGATGGCTATCCAGCCTCCTTCTGAAATCTTCAGTGAAGAAGCTACCACAACCTCCCAAGGGAGTCTGTTCCATTGTCCTGCTGTTCTTAATCTGCTATGCTGCAGTTTGAATCCATTGGATCTTGTCTTGCCCTCTGTGGCAGAAGAGAACAAATTGTATCCATCTTTTTTATGGCAGCCTTTCAAATATCTGAAGACTGCTATCATATCCCTCCTTAATCTCCTCTTTTCCAAACTAAACATACCCAGTTCCTTCAGTCTTTGCTGATATGGCTTGCATTCCATCCCTTTGATTGTCTTTGTTGCTCATCTCTGGATCCTTTCCAGTTTCTCTACATCCTTTCTATACATTGTTGACCAAAACTGGACACAGGCCTAAGCAGCACCGAGTAGAGTGGTACTATCACTTCCTATGACTTGCATGCTATGCCTCTGTTAATGCAACCTAACTTGCATTTGCTTTTCTTGCAACAGTATCGCATTGCTGGCTCATGTTGAGGTTGTGATCCACCACAACTCCCAGATCCATCTCAGCAGTGTTGCTGCCAAGCCAGTTTCTCCCCATTCTGCATTTGTTCCTTTGGTTTTTCTTCCCTAAGTGTAGCACTTTACATTTGTCTTGAATTTCATTTTGTCTGTATCCCGGTTCTCAAATTTATAAAAATCCCTCCGAATTTTAGGTCTATCCTCCAAAGTATTGGCAACCCCGCTAGCTTTGTGTCATCTGCAAACTTGATCAATATGCTCTCTACACCTACATCCAGGTCATTAATAAAGATGTTAAATAACACCAGACCCAGAACAGATCCCTGTGGAACCCCACTTGACACTTCCCTCCAATCCAACCTCATTCCATTAATAGCTACTCTTCCTTTGCGGTTGTTTAACCAATTATGTATCCACTTAATGGTAGTCCTGTCGAGCCAACATTTCTCCAGATTACTTATCAGAATGTTGTGGGACTGTGTCAAAAGCCTTGCTGAAGTCCAGGTATATTATGTCCTCTGCAGTCCCCCTATCTACCAAATTAGTTACTCTGTCAAAGAAGGAAATCAAGCTGATTTTGGCATGATTTATTCTTGGTAAATCCATGCTGGCTGCTAGTGATTACTCCTTCATCTTCCAGGTATTTGCAAATTTAATGTTTTATACATTGTGTAGTTGCTTCCCAGATATTGAAGTCAGGCTGACTGGTCTAGAGTTCCCCAGCTCCTCCTTTCTCCCCTTTTAAAAGATGGGCACTATGTTAGACCCTCTCCAGACTTCTGGGACTTCTCCTGTCATCCATGAGTTTGTAAATATCTCGGTGGCTCCGAGATTTCTTCAGCTTATTCCTTCAGTACCCTTAGATGAATAGCATCCAATCCCACTGATTTGAATTCATTCAAATTAGTCAGAAGATCTCTGACATGTTTACTTATCCCGATCTGCATCCCTTCCCGGTTATTGTCTATGGTAACTTCAGTGGTCGTCCGGTCACATGTTATTTTTTGTGAGAAGACTGAAGCAAATTAGGCATTGAGCAGCTCTACCTTCCGATCTGCCGTTACCAGCCCACATTCTCCAATAAGCAGCGGACCAAGACCGTCCTTGAGCTTTCATTTTGATCTGACATATTTGAAGAACCCCTTCCTGTTGTCTCTAACATCTCTTGCCAGCTGTAACTCATTCTTTGCCTTGGCTTTCCTGATTCTGTCCCTTCACACTGCTGCTATTCCCATGTATACTTCCTTGATGACATGCCCCTCCTTCCATTTCCTTTTATGTATCCCTTTTGATTTTTAGATAGCTAAAAAGCTCCTTGTGCAGCCACTTTGGCCTCCTGTGGCTCTTCTTATCTTTCCTCAGCATCAGAATAGCTTGATGTTGAGCCTCTAGTATTTACTCCTGGGGGAATTCTGCACCCCTGTGTGCATGCGCATGTGTCGTCCCCCCCCCCCCCCCCCCCGCAGATTTCTTTGCTTCCCCGCAGAAAAATGACTTTCTGACAGGGAAGCAAAGGGAAGCTGCAAGAGCAGTCATGCGCCACTACTCCCTAGCTTTGCAGGTACGTCGTTTCAGGCACCCAGAGCAGCTGACGGAGAGGAAACTCACCGCAGGGCTGGGGACATCCCAGCCGGTAGCTCTTACCCTAAGCTGGGATCAACTGCTAGTCCCAGCTGGGCTTCCTCTTCCCCTGCAAGGAGTGGCTGGGTCTGTCACACCCACCCTCAGAAACCTCCCCCAGTTGCAGGAAGTTCAGCATCCTCCCCTGATTCATGCCCCCGTTGCTCCTCAGCTGCAGAGGGAGGGGTCACTATACAGGGAGCTGCTCCACCATCCACCCAACCCCCATGCATATGAACTTCCCATACCCAGACACCCCATACCTGAACCCAACCCTATTGACCCACAACCTCTGCATCTGGAGCCCCCTTGCACCCAGATGCCCTGCCTCCGGACTCCCACCCCTGCACCCAGACCACCCCCCACTGAGCTCTCTGCACTCAAACCCCCACCCTTACGAGCCCCATCACCCTGAGCCCCCACATCAAGACCCCCATGCCACTGATCCCCAATTAGCTGCACCCAGACCCCCATCCCACCAAGCCCCATTCCTCCAGCACCGAGACACCCCTGCTAAGACCCCCAAACCTAGACCCCTCTGCTGAGCCCCAATCAATTTCACCTGGAAGCCCCTGCAGGGTCCCATTGCCCCTGCATTTGGATCCCCCCCCAAACACACCGGATCCCCCCACACACACACACACCAGACCCCCCACTGAGCTGCCTGTATCCAGATTAGCCCACACAGAATCCTCTCACCCCACACCTGGATCCCCCCACACTGAGCTCCTCCACACTTGGATCCTGCCCCACACCTGGTGCACCTGGCGCAGAGGGGCAGGGCCCCAGGTGTTTCTGGGGCAGGCCCAGGCCTTGTGTTGTGTCAGGGTTGGGTGCAGCCTCACCATTGAGTCTGTGTCCCCAGGGCGAGGGGTGGGGAGGCTGCAGGGTGATCTCCCACCTTCATGCATCCAGTGGCCTGTGCTCCCCACTGCCATGCTGGAGCCTCTGCATTTATTTATTGACCAATAAAACGTGCAGAATTTTGCAGATTTAAAAAATATTGTGTGCAGAATTTTAAATGTTTTGGCGCCGAATGCTCTCAGGAGTAAGTGTCACATCTCTGAAGAGCTGTCAGCTTCCTTTGACTACTATTTTTTTCCTAATTGGCCTTTCCATGGGACCTTGCCTAGTATTTCTCTGAGTCAATTAAAATCTGCCTCTCTGAAGTCCAGTGTCCTTGTTTTGCTGTTCTCAAATCATAGGTGCTTGCCCCAATGCTGAGGACATACGTTCCCACGCTTTTGCTGCTTAAATAACCTCATTTTAGTAGATCACCCCTATCTTTAGCAACAAGCACTGCCTCTTCTCTCCATAAAAGCGAAGTGAAGAAGAAAGTCGGCATTAATCACAGTGTCCTATCAAAATTCCGACTTGGAAAATCATGTTTTACTTACCTGAATTCCTCCTGCAACTGGATATGCTCTTCCTCAACTTCTGCACTAAACTGACTTGTTGTGTTGCTATTAAACAGCTCTTGCATGTCGCTGGTGAATGAAGAGATTCTTATGTGTGGAAAGAGAAAAAAGAATGTCTGTTAAGTGAGCTGGGATCCTTCAGGATAAAAATTGCGATGTAAAAATAATCATTTATTTTTATTTATTGGTAACTATGCACTGAAGTAATGGGTGAAATGCCTAAAATGCTAAATTGATTATATTAGAATTATTCATCTCTTAAATACTACTTTGATCATTTTTCTACATGCCCCATGCAGAATCTTTCAGCCAGCAGTATCCATTGGAGGCTGCATATGCACCCTGCATCTAGGGTGACCAGATATCCCGATTTTATAGGGACAGTCCCGATTTTTGGGTCTTTTTCTTATATGCTCCTATTACCCCCCACCCTCTGTCCCGATTTTTCACATTTGCTCTCTGGTTACCCTACCTGCATCTCCTTGTCCCACTTCCTGAGGAGAAGGGTAATAAAGGACAGAAAAGCCCCAACCACCATACAGTTCCTTCTTACTGCCAGTTGCAGTAAGATAGAGCTACACAGTGTCCATCTGCTTCCCTGTTGTATCATAAGTAGTATTAGATTTTTAGTTAGTGTTAGTTTTAGTAGTTTGAAAGAAATACAACTTTAAAAATCTGTTGGCAAAAAAAAAAATCTAAATTAGAAAACTAAAGCTGTTCTTGACTCTTCCCTTATCATACCTCAAGATTCCCCACAATCTAATATAAACTTGGTCTTCCTGACGTGGCTCTTCTTATAGATATCCTTTGTGGTTTAACCATACTTTTTCTAATTTAACTCAGGGATTGAAAAAATCTCTCTGTTCACTTGGTCTCAGACTATCAATGTTTGCTGCTCCTGAAAACATTTGTATTGATCCACCTCCTGCCAGCTTGCAAGATATTTATTATACATTTTAGCTTTGTTAACATCTCAGTTGCTCTACAAAAGAAATCTAATACAGATCTGCTCTGATTCCTTCTCCCAGAAGTGTTGATGTTGTGACTTTATATGCAAGACTGCACCTTTGCCCCCTTCAGGGGTGGTTAAGACCAGTTTATTACCCACTCAGATACACACTATGCCTTCCTGTAGTGATACTTCCAAAGGTGCTGGCATCTCTTCATTGGTGGATGGACTCACCTTTGTCTGTGCCAGAGAGTTTTTTCATCCAGCTTCTCCATCAGACTACTCTAAAGGATGCATCCAAGCAATGATGGAGTTCACACCTAGGCAAATTTCAGGCCCACAGGAGGAATTGCACTTAAACATATTGGAGTTAAGAGCCATTCTTCTACCTTGCAAAGCGTGTCTGTCCGTGCTCCAGAACACCCCTCTTCAGATCCTAACAGATAATAGGACAGCAATGTATTGTATACACATTTGGAGGTTGCAAGATCTTCCCCTCTATTGGGAATCAATTTTCTTGTGGAATGGTGTAATCGTCATAGCAACCTGTTGGCATTTTGTCTAGCAGGTGTCCAGGACAATTTAGCAGATTATCGGAGCAGGAAAGACTCCATCTCCAATGAACGGGAGCTAAAAGACTCTATTTTGAATTCAGTGTTTCATGATTAGGGAGTTCCCTCAATGGACATATTTGCCACATATGATAAGAAATATCCCATATATTGCTCACCAGGAGGAATGAGTCCAAAGTCTCTTGCAGACGCAGATCTGATTCTGTGGGATCAAAACATGCTATATGCCTTTCTCATTTCTCCTCATCCTGTTAATCCTCAGAGTACTCAGGAAAGTTTGTCAGGACAGGGCTCAGGACAAGCTTCTACTTGGGCCCATCAATTTTGGTTTCCCAATCTAATTCACCTTTCAATTTGTCCGTCTTTGGTTCCCATCCTTCCAAATATCCTTTCTTAAAATCACAGCCTAGTGTACTGGACCCAGACCCCAAAACTCTGCACTCGACAGCATGGAGGCTAGCTGGCTGACTCTGCTTGAGGAGAACTGCTCACTGACTATTCAAGTTTTTATTCCTGCTAGGAAAGCCTCTACAAGATAGGTGTGTGTATATATCTATATATAAGTGGAGGCATTTTTCAGTATGATCTAGTCAGAGAACTATCCAGTCAGAGAACTCTTCTGTCTGAACTATTTTAGATAATCTATTATCCTTGAAACATTGTGGTTTCTCAGTTCTGTTAAAGTGCATTTACCAGCTGTTTATGAGGGTTTTTATTGCTCGGTTAAGTGGTTATTTGGGGTTTTTTTTTCAACTGTTAACTCTACAGTTTCCAAGTTCTTAAAGGGGTTTACACTGTTTACACTGGTTAAAGATTCCTTTCCTTCCTTGTGCTTGAATATGGTATTAATGTATTTAATGGAACCTTCTTTCCAACCTTTAACATGTTCTTTGTAACACTTTTCTATAAAGACAGAATTTGTAGTGGCTGTCACTTTAGCGTGTAGCCTGGTGGAGTTGCAGACCAGGTCTACACTACACATCTATATCAGTGTAACTGCATCGCTCAGGGGTGTGAAAAATCCACACCTCCTGAGTGACGTAGGTATACTGAGCTTAACCCTCTATGTAGACAGTGCTCTGTCCACAGGGAAGCTTCTCCCGTTGACATAGCTGCTGCCTTTCGGAGAGATGGATTAACTGTGCCAATGGGAGAAGCTTTCCCGTTGGCATAGGAGCATCTTCACTTAAGAACAGCAGCGCAGCTACTCCGATGCAGCTACACCCCTGTAGCACTGTACATGAAGACAAGCCCACAAGTTTTGATGGCTGGGTCTCCGTACGTGGTTGTCTATAAGGACAGAATTATGCTTAGGTCACATCAAAAATTTCTGTGTTAAGCTTTCTCATACCGTGAAACAGTTTCCCCTTCCCTTTTCAGTTAGGGTGCAGTCTGCAGGGCTCAAGCAACCTCTCTCAGGATGTGTTAGAGGTGCTCCTGTTTTGGAACTCTGTAGAGCACCTACATGGCATTCTACTTATACATTTTACTAACACAGCTTCTAGATCAGATGCTCAGTTTGGCAGGGCTGTCTTGCAGTCATTTTTTAGATAGGACTCTTGTCATCCACCTACCTGAGAAGTAACTGGTAGTCAGTCTGTGTGGACAAATGCTCAGAGAAGAAAGAGATTACTTAGTTCACAGTAACTGGAGTTCTTTGAGATACCTTTGTCCACATGGATCGTACTATGACTCTTCTTCCCCACTGGAGTCCTCCTACTGGATTTCAGTATTGGTGAAGGAACGGAGTGGCATTTAGGGTATTCCACTCTTTATGCCCATGGGGTGGGAGGCAGGAGGGTATGCAGGCCAAATGTGCAGCCTCTCACAGATGCTGCTGGCTAAATGATTCCAGGCTCAGACACATGGGTATACACACCTACAATGGGATCTCTATGGACAAAAGCATCTTTAAAAAAAAAAAAAAAAGTGTTACTGTAAAGTAAGTAAACCTCTCTTTTAAATGCATTGCAATTAAGATTTTATCAATTTTACTGAAAGAAGGCAGACTTCACTTTTTAAAAATTTGCACTGAATTTTGTGAAAATAGTTCTCCATTAGTAATCTCTATAGTATTTTTTCTCTCATGTGTGTCTTTCATTTTTTTATTTAGCTTCCCCATATACCTCATCAACTCCAAATGTTAATTGTGTAAGACATGCTGACTCAAGAGGCTCCCTTATAAGTACAGATTCAGGAAACAGCTTCCCAGAAAGACATAGTGACAAGAACAATTCTCTTGACAAGGTAAAAAATAAGCTTTTGAATAAGTCTTCATGTTAACAAATGTAATTCAATATCATTAGGAAACTGTCTACTACATAGTAAGAAATCAATCCAGCTCCCATTGGAGTCAATCGAAGTCTTCTTGCATTAACTCCATTAGGAGTTGAATTGTATTTTGAATGTCAGCATTGATTAAAACATGAAATAACTTCATTTGATAGTGTTACTATACATAAAATTGGTTATTTGCGAAATAAAAAGTAGTTATCATGTGGATTTGCTATTTTGCACTGTATACATCATCAAAATAATTTATCCAATATGTGAACAGATATTTTTATGTAAAGAAACGTTTTTAGAAAATTGTTATTACTGTTTCCTGTGCTGGATAAGGGCACTCTGATCTACTAAAAGAAACGTGTTAAGTTTTTTGCATTCAATAAAGCAGAACTGAAAACTTAGGGTGGGATTTTTCAAAAGCGCTTAAGTGACGTAGGAGTACTGTAAGCCAATTCCAAAGCAAGAAACTGCAGTAACTGTGAGGTATTCAGTCATGTTTGTTTATAGCTGATGTTAACACTTAATTTTCTTAGACCTTGTTGTGCATTTCACGACATATGTTAATTTTTTTCCACTTGACCCTAACATGCCTTTGTGTGGCAGAGGGAGAAACTTCGCAGAAGGTATTCTGCTCATGCTATGCGCTTTAGTGAAGAGGAAGAAGAAAATTCCCACTTAGCAAAGAACAGTCGTGTTACAGTGGACTTTTCACTTCTGACAGTTCCAGCTTTACCAGAGAAAATGTTGCATGTTGCGCTCTCTCTTCAGTCACAAGAAGTATTTTGGTTTTTGTACTTGATATAGTTAAGATTCTGGGTGAAGAGTGTGGTCAGTAGAGTTTTGCCACAGCTTAGCAGCATTTTATACCTGCTGTAAATATGATGGATCAAATACCAAAACAACTAAAAAGTTTCATTAAAATAGCATGTAGCTCCCAATCCTGCATGCTTATGCATGTCCTTCACTTTAAACACACAAGTAGACCCATTGAAGTCAATGGAGCTTCTCACATGCTTAAATTTAAGCATGGGTATAAGTGTTGGTAGGTTTGGGGCCTTAGCCTATGGTATGCCTATTTTAAGTAGACTAAACATTATTTTGTTTTCCTTTTTTCCAAGATATATGGTTGGCGGAAAATAGATAGATAGATATAAAATATGGACTAAGTAAGAAAATTCTTTAACTGAAAACATGTTCTGTAGGTGTATTCTGCTGCTAAATGGCAAAACTGTCACCCAACATTTAGTTAATGTTTTGTTAATGTCTTAATTTGAAGTGTTCTGCTAATTAGTTGATCTTTGGGCTGGAATTTTCAAAGGAATTTAGGGGAGTTCAGTGGCAGACATTGAATTTCAATGGGATTTGGGTGCCTGACTCTTAAGCTCCTTTGAAAATCTCCACCTAATCTATCAGGTTAGGTTATGTAGGTGTTTTGCTTGATGTGGCTGCTGTTAATGTTTCCTCAGAATAATATTTAGTCCTATCAATTATCCGCTGATTTTCTAACTTTCTTTTCAGTAGTTCACTTGTACACTGTAAGTGTCTTTGAATTTTTCACCGCTTGTATAAGGATTTCATTAATAAAAAGCCAGAGCAATTTTTTATTCTCCATTGAAAATTGCCTATGAAGATCCATGCTTGCAGGAAGTGTATGTTCCTGCAGCATGGAATCCGAGTTTGCTAGTGACTGCTAATGTTATATGCATGTTTCCTGGATTCAGATTACAGTTACACGGCGCCATGGCCTCAGCGTCATCCCAGTTCCTTTTCTACTGCTTCAGCAGTGATGTCAGAATCTTTGTTTTTCCTGTACTTAGCATTATATCTAGTTCCATATTCAGTTCCACTTCAGTTATTTTACTTTACTCCATGCCTGTTGGATATTTAATTTGGTCTGAGATACGTATCCAGCACAGTAATTTTGCTTTTCACAGCTCTGTTTTGGATTCTCTGATGGCAGATTCCCAAGTGTTTAGGGTTCACATGACTCACATGCTGAAACAGTGTCTGTCATGGGTCTGCATTTTGCTGCCTGTGTTGAGGAGGACTCATCAAAGGCACTCCATCTAAGAGACATTTATACAAAGTGTTCAGTGAGCAACAGAGCTGTCTGAAGGCTCCCTTCATGGGACAAGTGCTCTGACTATCTGAGGCTGCTCCCGTGTCAGCTCTTATCCAGCTAATTACTTGTCATGGATGGCTACCTCAACATTGGGAATATACTCAGAGATCTTGAATGTGAGATGCTTTAAGATCCAACCTGTTTATAGAAGCCTGAAGATGTAAAACAGATTTATCGTAACATTTTGGAGGACCTGACTATTCACAAAGAAAAATAAATTTAATGAATCTAGGCATTCATGGACAGCATATTTCTCTTCCAGTCAGATAGGTGCCATTGATCTAAAGGCACCTGAAATAGTGAGAGGGGGCTTGGAGCTATAGAAGATACTGCAGAGGATGCTTTGATGCTGAAAATTTTGTCTAGTATGCATCCTGCCTTCTTGGAATTACCTTCCTTTTCAAATCTGTGACCTGTGAAAGATCAAAACCAGCACCTTAAATCGAAAGCCAGATAAGCAGTGCTGATTGTTCAGCAGTGGTTTAATACATTCTCTTCTGTATCTTCTAAATAGTAAGTTTTATTTATCACTCAGGAACCCTGGTATCAGAGCTTTTCCCTTCCCTGTTCCTTTTTTCTTGACCACCTGATCTAGAAAGGACTGAGTTTACTTTAAACTTCTTAACCCTGGTCTGCACTACAAATTTACATAAGTATAACTATGTTGTTCAGGGGTCTGGAAAATGCCCATCCCTGAGTGACGTAATTATACTGACCTAACCCCCACCACAGACAGAGCTATGTTGACGGGATAGTTTCTCCCGTCAACATAGCTACCACCTCATAGGGAGGTGGAGTACTTATGCTGACAGGACAAGCTCTGCCATCGGTGTACATACCGTCTTCACTAAGCACTACAGTGGCACTGGTGCAGCTGGTCAGCTGCAGCGCTGTAAGTGTAGACAAGCCCTCAGATTATCTTTTTATGCCATATAGGGATAAATCTAGGAGGGAAGCACATCTCTAGTCAGATTGCCTTAGAGGGTAAAATGGAATATGCGAAACTGTTATAACTAAGAGTTTTATAATGCTTTCCACCTGGTTCTAGAGAATGTCTAAGAAATGCTTCTTCCACAGAAATGTAAAGCTGCTACTAGGAACGCTGTTCATATGAATACACAATACTATTTTTTTAATTTGGTAACTAAACTCGATGCACAGTTTGGAAGATGAGTGCTGGTTTAGTTCTTTTTAGACACACTTCCTTCAAGGGTTGTTATTGTTAGCTAATTTTCCACAACTAAGGGGACTATACAAGCAGTTGCTGGAGAAAGGAAGGTTACTTACCAGTAACTGGTTCTCCAAGAATGTTGGTATTACGCACTTCCCGCACACGACCCTTTCTTTGGAGTTCTCATGTATGACTTTATGGGGAAAAAATCAGCGAGTCAGGGCCACAGCTCCTTGTGACCTCGCTCCAAATGTAGGATCCACAAAGGAGCGTGCATAGGTGTCTTAAAAATCACACAGCTCTTTTCTAGATGATTTTAACTTGGCACCAGTGGCACATGTACTTCCCACAAGTGTAGATACCACTGTATGATCCTAAATTGCAGGTACTGGTAAGTAGCCTTTCTTCCCTGAAGGGGGGAAATGCATGTAAAAAAGAAAATAAAACATTGAAGGTCAAGACACTTAATTTGGTATAGTTTGTATGCACAGTTAGATGGGTTACTAAAATATACCTCTATATAAATTTTGATCTTGTCTCCATTCTGAGATCCCCTTCTTTTCATAGGAGTTAACAAAGCAATTCAAAATTGTTAAGTTTTTAACGGTTTAAGAAAATGTTTCACCCAAATTTACTCCTGTTTATTCTCAGAACCAGCACTGTGGCACTTTAGGAAGTTCTGTAGTTCGAAGTGGCAAATTCGACCAAACAGAAATCAAAAGTCTGCTCATGTGTTTCCTTCATATTTTAAAAAGCATGTCTGATGGTAGGTAAACAACAATTCTTCTTAATTTTGTAAATTTATGAGAAGGAGGGTTTGATTTATAGATGTACAATCTTTCAAACTATTTTCAGTAATGGCTGTGGTATCTTGTTAAGCCTTTCATGTGTGAGTTGATGGTTTTACATTTCTTCTTGTTGTGCTTGAGTGATAAAATTAAGTCCCACTTGAAAACTTGTAGTTCGTAAATATTAATTATTCCCTTCAATAGTATATGGTTAGTTGAAGGTCTCAGTTAACAAATATTTGTCATTGCATATGTCAGTGTATGACTTTTTATTGGGTATTGGAGAGGAAGAATGGTCCAGTATTTGGAGCTCTAACTTAGGATTTGTGAGACCTGAGTTCAGTTCCCTGCTGTGCCATAGATCTCCTGTGTGACCTTGGGCAAGTCACTTAGTTTCTTTATGCCTCAGTTGCCATCTGTAAAATGGGAATAATAGTACTTCCCTACTTCACAGGAGTATTCTGAGGCAATCAGATATTTCCGTGATGGGGCTATATTAGTAGAGCTGAGTGAATAGTTGATTTTTCAAGTCAGTGGCTAAACTGAAAAATCTGAAGAAAAAAAAATTGTTTCAGGTCAAATGTTTTTCTTTTTCAGGTATTTTTTACCCTTTTCTTTGTTTGTTTAAATAAATCTAGTTAATTTTTTTAAAACAAAATGGAGCCTTTTATGGAAGGGGGAGGTTAAATTTCCGTTGGAACTATTTGCCCTGAATTTGCAAATAGTTTTGGTGAACCCAAAACAGCATTTTTTTGGCAAATAAACTATTTGTCCAAACAATTTTGTTGAGTTCTACATGAAAGTATTTTGGAACGATAGAAACTTTAAATATATTTATTATGTAAAATGTTAATGAGATGGCCACTACGGTTATCAGAAATCAGAGTAACAATGTAACTTTCAAAGATTATGTAAAACTAACATTAATTCAGAGTTTTAAAATAGTGACTCAAAATTAAGAAATGCATAACAGTTGGCTGAAGTTTAGTTTATAATACAAATGTGCGCTGTCTTTAAAATCTGAGAGGCATAAAACAAGGATGCAGAACATTTTTCTGCCTGCAACTCCCAAACGGTTTCCTCTATGACCATACATCTCAGATTTCTTTTGATTAAGTCAAAAGGACTGAGAACTGCAGTATGCAAATTTAATTTTTATCAGTTCTCTCTGTCAAATATAGCAAAAGTCGGTACGTACTTTCAGCACATATTTTGATAATTAATTTCAAATTTGATTTATGTAATGTAAAAATGTCTACACTGTGATTTGAAAGTTTCGTACATTGTACAGCAGGGGTAGGCAACCTATGGCACACGTGCCAAAGGCGGCACGCAAGCTAATTTTCAGTGGCACTCACACTGCCTGGGTCCTGGCCACCGGTCCGGGGGGCTCTGCGTTTTAATTTCAAAATACTTTAATTTTAAATGAAGCTTCTTAAACATTTTAAAAACCTTATTTACTTTCATACAACAATAGTTTTCCTTCTAAAAACATTAAAATGTATTACTGGCACGCGAAACCTTAAATTAGAGTGAATAAATGAAGACTCAGTACACCACTTCTAAAAGGTTGCTGACCCCTGTTGTATAGTATCAGGAGGTAGTCGTGTTAGTCTGTGTCCACAAAAACAACTAGGAGTCCGGTGGCACCTTAAAGACTAAATCTGTTAGTCTTTAAGGTGCCACCAGACTCCTCGTTGTTTTTATACATTGTATAGTCTCACTTATTGCAATGTCAGGAATGAGAATAGAAATGTTAATGATATCTTTAATATTTATTACATGCTTTACATGCAATGCTTCATATAATTATTTGAATATGATTTTACATGCAGTAATTGCAAAAAATAAAACAAAACAAAAATATTCTTTGAGTGATTCCCTGTGGCCTTAAACTCTGACTGACTGAATTATATATTTACATTTCAAAATATATAAGTAAAATACATTATGTAAAACACTTTATATGAAACCTGCAAATGTATGTTTTTTTCAATTATTTAAAGGTCTTCTATTTTTCTTAGAATTGCACAATAAACCATTGTCTGCATACTTTATTTTACACATATATAATAAATACTCCTCTACAAATTAATTCAATACTATGCTATATATTCAATAAACATTTACTGCAGCAATATTCATTCAAAAGGCTATCTTTGAAATTACAAGATTAGGTTCAAAGGAAATTTTAAATTTTATAGAAAATTGTGACAGTTGTCTGCTCCCAGAAAACCCTTTTCTGGACTGCATGAATTATCATAACCTCAAAGTTGAGAACCAATGGCGCAAAATGTTCTTCTTAATATTGTTGTTAACTACCTTTGATTTGTTTATTTTTTAAATTCTTCATTTTCTAGATGCTTTGTTTACATATTGGAACAAGGCTTCAACATCTGAACTTATGGATTTTTTCACAATCACAGAGTGAGTTTGCTTAGCTTTTCATAAAAATTGTATATTTGAATTTGCTTGTTGAACTCAGTGTAGATTTAGATGTTTCATATTAATTCAAAGCATGACACCATCAATCAATATTTAGAAGCCCCATACTTAATTTTACATGCAACATTATAGAATATTGCTAGTTCCACACTAATTTGGGGGAGTTAGGGCGGAGAATTATCACCTTTGGCACTTGGTGAAGTCCTTAAATAGGCTGGGGCACTTAAAATGCTGCTAATACTCCCTTTAGAGACACCATCTCTTCTGTGTCCCAGATGGAGCCACAACCATTAAAAGTAAAGGTGCAATTACAAATCAGAATAAATAAAGATGCCTGTTACTGACTTTTTTTCTGAATGCAGTGTTGTTGTAGCCATGTTGGTCCCAGGAGAGTAGAGAAAGAAGGTGGGTGAGGTAACATCTTTTATTGGACCAACTTCTGTTGGTGAGAGAGACAAGCTTTTGAGCTACACAGAGCTCTTCCTCAAGTCTGGGAACGGTACTTAGAGGTACTTTATTTCAGAATGAAAATAGGATGGCTTCCCAATTTTGCCCTTTCCTCTTTCATCTCACAAGAAGGGAAAGAGAAGAAGTCAGATAGCCTCTTCTGAACAGGAAAGCAACAGTGTCCATCTTTACTTCCACTTGCTTCCCAGAGCTGGTCTGAATGCTGTGGTGGAGAGAAGTCAAGTTTGAGAACAGCAGTTTTGAGGGGAACAGTGCAGTAGCCTTTCTAAAAGGCCTTCCTGCCATGCTCCAATCCGGATTGTTCTTCGTCACTCCCATAGCCTGAACAGGGCCATTGACACAGTGATAGCCAGACGTTTTGTTATAAATGCACTGATCAAAATGTGTGTTACAAAATGTGCTCTGTGCATGAATCTTCATCTTCAATTAAATATATACTTCTTCAAGTGCTGGTGCCTATGTGTATTCTGTTGTGGATACGCATGCACTTTGTGCCCAGAGTCAGAGAATTCTGGCAAGCAGTGTCCATAGGTCTGTTCCTGTTCTCCTCATGTTTCAAACTGAGAGTATAAGGTGTGGGGTGAACCAGCCACCTCTCCAGTTCATTCTTACCATCGCATGGCTTGAATCGGTACCTCCAGTGCAGTCTACAACCTGCAAATATTTAAAAGGTTTTTGGTTTAGAATAGCTTTGCAAATAGTTTTTAATAATTTACAGTGAAGTATGTTAGATTCCTCATCCCAGAGCTCCCTCACCGTCCCATACCCCAATACAGGTATGGGACTGTGTGCCCAGAACACTAAGCTTTGAAAACAGTCTCTCCTGTCCATGCTCCTTCTCAATGAGTGACAACCACCAGCTCTGCCTAGACTGCTTCCCGGAAGTGCACATCTCTGCCAGGTGCAGTATTTGTTGCTGCTTCCTAGCCTAACCTGTCAAGCATGGAAATTCTGGCTTAAAAAGCACATCATGGAGAAGGCTATTGAAGACTCAGTCAGACCCAACCCAGGGGATCCCTGCCCCTATAGCATCATGAATCAGTGAGGAGCACCCCTCCTACTACAAGGTGTGATTTAGGAGTGAGGGAATCCACATTCACACACCCTCCATCAGGGTCTCTTCGGAAAGGCCGGGAACTCTCCCACACATAAGAGCAGATCCCCATTTAAGTCTACTCCGAAGAGGACAGATCTGACCCTGCCCAGGTTGAGTAAGTCTTTGCTCCCAGCCACCATGGACTCAGAATATCCTAAGCCTAAGAGCCATGAATAAAAGGATCTTTAGAGATGGGCTCTGTCAGTACCAGCCCCACAGTGGCGTCACCAACGCTAGCAATATTACCTAAGGCAAAAAAACAGAAGCCATCAGTACTGATAAAGAGTACCCTTTGGGATCCTTAACTGCAGAGAGTACCATCACTACCTTGTATGTGGTCAGGACAGAGCCTCCCTGCATTGGCTTCAATGGTAAAGGCAGACAGTATCCCACATACTCCAAGAAAAGCAGAGGACATTTTTGTTCTCTCTGTTCCTCAATCTTCTCTGCTATCGGGACCTTCCTTCATCAGGGAGATCATGATTCCACCAACGGCTATAAGCTATGGGAAAAGTCTATCCCCCCATCCCATCTACCAGCTGCTGCTTTCCTCCAGTGGGACTGTCGGTACCTCCAATGGAACCGGGTCCAGCTTTTTCATCATTGGGAGAATCAAAATCACCAGAGGAACTGTCGTCATCTCCTTCAAGGGTAACAGTCCAGACAACAGCTCGAGAGCCTCCTGGAACCAACCTCCACTAAGACACCTTCCTCAGGACCAGTGGTCCACCATGCATTGGGAACTTCCACAATCCTCCTTTGATCGCCCTTACTTGCCATGCTTGGACCCATGGGACCCATACGCACAATACACAGGTTCAGTGTGATCCACTAGAGAATCTCTCCATGCCTCCTTCCAAAGGAGCAACCAGAACTTCCTTCTGACCCCACAGAAGAGGAAGATTACTAAAAGACTGATGAGTCCTTGCACTTTTAAAAGGACTCCAGGGCAATCCTCCATTCCTTGCGACTATATGTACCTTCCCCAAAGAGGAAATGCCACAAACATCCCTGCAAAACAAATCTGATTCAACAGTTCTACTGTCAACAGTCGTATGAACCACCTCATAAGTTACAGTGGGTACAGAAATCATGATACCCTGCACCTCCAGCATCAACAACATCTCAACTTCACCCACTGGCTAAAAGATCATTTTGATGGGATGCTCAGGATTTGTGAACCACTAGTGATGTCTCCCCAACCAACCCCCACCTATATTTTGGTGGCCTCCTATCACTCTTGCTCCACATCTGGAGAGTAGTAACATAGTGTTCTCGACATGTGGTCCGTGGACCCCTGGAGGACTGTGGACTATGTCGAAGGGGGTCTGTGAAAGACTTAGATGAAAACTGACTAAACAGAATTAAACTATACATACAGACAATAGATTTCCATAGGGGTCCACACCTCCATTTGAGATTTCCAAAAGGGTCCGCAGTTGAGAAAATGTTGAGAACCACTTTGTAATGGACACATAGTTGTTGGATATAATCCATTCCAGCTACATAATAGAGTTTATCTCCCATCTCCTCCAAAAACCACTTCCACTCCTTTTTCATAGATCATTCTCATTAGGATCCTCCATCAGGTAGTGAAAGAGTGGCTTTCTCTTCAACATGCAGGAAAGGGGTTCTATTTGACATATTTCCTAGTATCCCGCCCCCCCCCCCCCAAAAAGGGAGGGTGTGAATTTAGAAAAGTCTGTCCTGACCAACACAGAATATAGAATTCATAGGAGTGACCCTAGATTCAGTCAAGGCTTATCTCCCAACCAACCTCAGCAACCTGATAGACCAGGTTATGTGCAACTCTTGAATATCAGTGTGGATTTGCCTATCTCTCTTGGGACACATGATTTCTTGTGCTTATGTGGGCTTGGCTTTGAATGGTATATACACCAAGCAAACAGTATGAATAACATAGTAACAATTCCCACCAGGGTGAGATCCTCACTAACGTGGTGGAAAGATCCCAAACGAGTATGTGTTAGTGTTCCCTTTCTCTCCTGCACACCCAACAAGGCAGTCATTATGGATATCTTCCTGATAATCTGGGGAACCCACCTGGACAGTCACACGGCCCAGGGCACTTGGACACCTCAGGAAGCCAGAATACACATCAATCTTCCGGAACTCCAGGCAGTATGAGAAGCTTGCAAAGCCTTTCTGCCATTCATCCAGTTTCACCATGTACTCATATCAGACATCTCCCTTTTAGCTCTGTACTTTCCAGAAATCCAGAACTCATTGGCAGACAGCCTTGGCAGGCATTTTGATCATAAGTGGGAATTATATGATTCAGTAGTGCACAACATTTTTACTTTTTTTTTCTAAACGACTTAATTTTTCTAAAGAGCAAATTAAAGTAGTCTTGAGGGGAGGGGGACTGTTGCTTTGAAAGTGTCCTGTATATTAATGGAAATAATATCATAACTTATAACTAGATGTGGGCCAACGGGGTCAAGTAAAATAAAAATAAATACAAGCATTCACCTGAACCATTTTCTTGAGGTTTGAAAAAGGTTTTATTTAAATTCTCCTTTGCACAATTTTTTCTCATGTATCCGTATATCCTTGTTTCAGTCAAAAGCATGAGCATCCACAAGTAGAGGCTGTTCTCACGGTATTTCTTGCTTGACCTAAAACATAGTAGTATTGCAAATCTTCAAGAAAGTCTATGTGCATATAATAAACATCTTAATACCAAGATGCTCATTTGAACAAAAAATCCAAGCCTTTTAAGATATGTAGATGTCACTAGCTATAATCAAACCTGAAAAACAGCTTCCCTTTTCAAGACCCACCACTGCCACAGCATCTTTAAAAAATGAGGCAATTAATGATGGCTAAGTGATAGAGCAGATAGGGATTGTTGACATTTATTTTAGCTTTTAGTAACAATTTAAAAATAAAATTATATATAAAATTGTATATATTTAGTTATCATTTTTCCTGTGTCCTTTGAAAGTCATTTTTCTTAGGGCTTGTCTACACTTCTGCTTAAGTCAATGTAACTCATGTTGCTCAGGGGTGTGAAAAAGCCACCCCCGAGCGACATAAATTACATCAATTTAAAGCGGTGTCCTGCTTTCCCACCCACGTAACTTCCGCCTCTTGTTGACATAGCTTTCACCTCTCGTCTTCACCAGACACGACATAACTTCACTATAGCCAATATAGCTTTCACTTCTCATCTTCACCAGACACGCTACAGCAACATAGCTGTGCCTATGTAGTGTGGTAGTGTAGACTAGCCCTTAGACCAGGGATGGGCAAACTTTTTGGCCCGAGGGCCACATCTGGGTATGGAAATTGTATGGCGGGCCATGAATGCTCACGAAATTGGGGGTTGGCGTGTGGGAGGGGGTGAGGGCTCCGGCTGGGGGTACAGGTTCTGTGGGGTGGAGCTGGGGATGAGGGGTTGGGGATGCAGGAGGGTGCTCTGGGTTGGGACCAAGGGGTTCAGAGGGCGGGAGGGGGATTAGGGCAGGGGCTTGGGGTGCGGGAGAGGGTCAGGAGTGCAGGCTCCAGGCAGAGCTTACCTCAAGCAGCTCCCGGAAGCAGCAGCATGTCCCCCTTCTGGCTCTTACGCGGAGGCGCAGCCAGGCTTTGGTTTGGTTCCTGGCCAATGGGAGCTGCAGGGATGGCACTTGGGGCAGGGGCAGTGTTCAGAGCCCCCTGGCTGCCCTTACGCATAGGAGCCGGAGGGAGAACATGCCGCTGCTTCCGGGAGCTGCATGGAGCCACAACATGCACGGAGCGGGGCAAGCCCCGGACCCTGCTCCCTGGCAGGAACTTGCGGGGAGGGATAGCTCAGTGGTTTGAGCATTGGCCTGCTAAACCCAGGTTTGTGAGTTCAATCCTTGAGGGGGCCATTTAGGGATCTGGGCAAAAATCTGTCTGGGAATTGGTCCTGCTTTGAGCAGGGGGTTGGACTAGATGACCTCCTGAGGTCCCTTCCAACCCTGATATTCTAGGATTCTAGGAACTTGATGGCCAGATTAAAATGTCTGAAGGGCTGGATGTGGCCCCCGGGCTGTAGTTTGCCCACCCCTGCCTTAGACTGTAAGCTCATTGGGGAAGGGACTATAACTTTGCTTGTGTATACACATCACCTCATACAATGGGGCCCTGCTTATGATAGGTACAACTAGACACTACTACCATATAAATACTAAATAATAAAGTCTATTTAGGATACCACGTTTTAGAAGCAGCAGTTAATATAATTTTCTTCTTTGGTTTTTGTTTTCAATCCTTGACGCTTCCCACTTGTCATTTTTAGAAATTCTAACTGGCACCAGCCAAGATATTAAGCTCTTTGCTTTGATTCCAGGTGAAAGGATCTGGGCATGCTCCATACCCCACTCTTGCCTCTGCCACCCCCTGCTGCTCTGTATGTACTGCAGAGTGCAAGGAATTGCTGCAACTCGGCACACTCACTTCATGGCACACTCAGTGCAGCGAGGTGGCTAACAGCAGTGGGATATGCAGCTATCACCATGTCAACCCCACAGTCAGGAGAAGGTTAACAAAGGCAACCTGACCTGATCTGAACCCAGCACCAGTAGGTGGGCCCCATCAGGTTCAGGTTAGGTTGCAGGGCTCTACTTTAAGGGTGGGAACAATTAAAATGGATGTTTTTCCTGAAATGCCTGTGAAGAAAGAGCTTAGAGGGACTGACAAGCAGACATAATAGATAAATAGTTGCAGTAAACTTTTATTTAAACAGTTTTTAAATGTTGTTACAATGATTCCTAATATGTTCTCTGCAGAGTGTGCTTGCATCAGTTCCAGTACATGGGAAAACGATACATAGCCAGGTACTGTGTAGAATTTAAATTTATGGTGTTATGCTATGAGAGAATTAAAATAGTAGTATGTACAATATCTATTGAGTTCTTGTTTATTAAAAAGTTATTGTACAAGAATGGAGAAATTATTATGCAGTGATGCCTACCAATTTGAAGGTGAGTAATTGGATGCATCCCTTTTTGGGTGCTACCTGAAAATATTGTTGCTGTAAAAGAATATTAGAAATATATATACAAAAATATGCTTATAAGAAATTAATGTAATTGGTATTTACTTTTGAGGGGGATATATTTTTTTGAAGAATAGGTTTATTTCTTAAAATAATGCTTATAAGGTAGCAAATATTGGTTTGTGATTACACATTTTGAATAATGACAAACATTGAAACTGTCTTGGTTGAATCCTCTTGGAAGCACTACTACATAGTATTTTTACTAATTTAAATTATAATATTGTTCATTTCAAAGACTGAGGATAGATCTAAATGATATGGCATAGATCTGTAATCACATTGATTATTGTAATGTGTCTCGTAAGCTGCCATTTTGCAATTTTTTTTCTAACTGTTTGTTTTCTAGATTTAGATTTTTCAGTTCATAGAGCTAAGTTCTGGCAGCACATGCATGTGTGACACTCACACTGAAGCCTGTTAATCAGTGGGAAGTCAATGGGAGTTGAATGCATGTATCTGAGGTCTGAATTTGGCCCATAAACTGTACAGTATACGTCAGTATTTCTTCCACATTTGCATACATCTCATACAAAGTATAGAGTACTTGTTCTTGTATTAAAGAAGTAAGTTAGTTAACCTAGTCTGTTCAGGCTTTCACACTGCCTCCACCACCATGGTGTTGGAGCTACTGTGATATCATTAAGCTTGTGGGGTGAAATCGTGGCCATATTTAACTCAATGGGAATTTTGCCATTAACTTTAGTGGTGTCAGGATTTTACCAACATTGTTGGCATCTATATTTCCCAATGTCAGTAGCTAAATGCAGACTACTACATTAGCAGTTAACATTGGAAACTGAAATACCAAAGAGTTCAATCAGAATATACCACAAATCACAATGACTTTAAACTGAACTTTTTCAAACTTAATGATATGGGAATTTGTTTCTTACAAAAAGAAAACAATAAACTTTCATCCTAATTTAAATATGAAATACTCATCCATCCTATTACACGAATGCTATTCTGGGGACTTACGAGAAGATTGTCACTGTCTCTTTCTGCCACCTCCACCCCCAAAAAATTTTTTACATACATGGAAAAAATCAGTGATAAAATGGATCTATAGCTGTTTCTCAATTTAGATTGTGTCTTTAGCTATGATTATACTGCTTTGTGCTTTAACATACTTCAGAATCTCCAGTCTTAAAAATAACTATAAAAATAACATTTTGACATAGCAGAGAAGACTGTTCTGTACTTCTGTCATATTGAATTATCACTTGATCTGTTCTGCATGTTAACAAACACCACACTATCACAATCATACAAGTCTCTGGTGGTCTGTGGGTTTATTGCAGTTTCACAAACAAATATAGCCTTTAAATCTGTAAAATTGATGTCACACCAAAGCATGTTGTATCACAGTAAATGCATGTACTGCACAGAATAACACCAAGTGAGAGAGAACTCTTAGTTAAGGGAACAGGGAGAGGTGTAATTCCAGCATTGGTTTTAATTTCTCATCAGCTCTGGTGGTGGTACACAATAGGAAGGTTGTACTGATTGCTAACACAAATCACTTTTCTGTTTTCTTCACTTGATTGCTGACAAGTTTTAACAAAGTGTATGGCTCTTCTCCCTTCCTGCCTGGGTAAGATACAGATGTTAGTGCCTAAATTAATTCCTGCTCTTATTGCATGTGGGCTTTCCTGTTTTACCACTACACCTCTTTCTAACTTTTCCCTAAAACTTATATAATCAAAAGAAATTAGTGCATTTTCCAGTTCTGACTGTTGTCAAAACATCATCTAAAATTAACATTGCTAAAAGCTTTGAAGTAAATTAAATATTTCAAGAGCTACAGTTTGTGTGCTTTTATTTTCACACATTAGGTTTTCTAATTACGAATTTGATGTGATGCTTTTTAAAAATGCCTATTTTTGTTTTAGCTAACATAAAACAACAAATAGGCTGCATTGCCATTCATTCGTTAGTACTTTTTGTGCTGTAGCTGCTTAACTAACTCTCCCTGTCTTGCTGCAGTTTGACATGTCTAACTTTTGCTTCTATCCCATTTCACCCATCTTGCAGGAACCAGGAGGGGTTGGGACCCATAGTTCATGATCGAAAATCTCAGACATTGCCTGTTTCCCGTAACAGAACAGGAATGATGCATGCCAGATTGCAGCAACTGAGCAGCCTGGATAACTCTCTCACTTTTAACCACAGTAAGTTCCATTACACCATAACAGTTGTCATCCTCATCCACTACCACAACACCAGAGGCAGGTCCCAGACCCACACCAGAGCGCTTCATGGACTTTATTATTGTTCTAGATGAAACAATTAAGTGGAATTAGTTCACTGGTCTGTTCCCACTTTCTGGTAGAGCAATCAATACTAAGTGGTGACGTAATGTGGAACATGGTTAACTATAGCATTACATATTTTAAAGTGGTACCTTGAGAATTTATTCGTTATGAAATATTCTAAATCATTTTAATCTGGGATTGATTTAAATTACAAACACTTAAATTTTGTGGTGCTCATTTGAAAAGGATTTATATCTTACTTTTGAACTATATGGGTTGATTTTATTAAAAGTTCTATTTTCACCCACTTGTGACCCATTATAAAAAGTATAGTCCACATGTTATAATATGCACTTAGTTGATCATGTCTCCATGTTCTGACATCTCCTGATGAAAATATAAATTTTACAATTTCTATGAGGAATGTAAAGTCCATGATTTAGTTTGTGTGGATGTGAAAGATCTCCCAATAATGAAGTGACTTTTTCTGTGTTTTCAGTGTAAGAAAGATATCAAGTGTGCTTGGAATTTCTGTAGACAATGGTAAGACTTAACGAGGTTGAAGTCAGTTTGTGTAAGGCTGCTTTAATTGAAAACAATTTTGTATATTATCTTTTTAAATATGCTGCTGTTAAATTTCAAATGATAAAAGATGCAGAATATTTTTGACATGTCATTTTTCAATTTCCTACAGTTTCAAGCACCAAAGAAATTGGTCAGCTAACCTAACAAAATACAGCATTGATTCATGCAATGTGTTGACTTGACAGAATTCCGTACACTATACAAACTGTTCAAGTTAACTATTGTGACAGACCCAGACCAGTGGGGTACAGGAGTCTGGTAGAGGGCAAATATACTGGTCACTGGATGAGTAGTTTTCTGTTCCCTGAGTGACCAGAGCAGGGGCTGCACTAGAGTAATCAGGAACCTGCTAGAACCAGTTAAGGCAGGCAGGCTAATTAGGACACCTGGAGCCAATTAAGAAGAAGCTGCTAGAATCAATTAAGGCAGGCTAATCAGGGCACCTGGGTTTTAAAAGGAGCTCACTTCAGTTTGTGGTGGGAGTGTGAGGAGCTGGGAGCAAGAGGCGCAAGGAGCTGAGAGTGAGAGGGTGTGCTGCTGGAGGACTGAGGAGCACTAGCGTTATCAGACACCAGGAGGAAGGTCCTGTGGTGAGAATAAGGAAGGTGTTTGGAGGAGGCCATGGGGAAGTAGCCCAGGGAGTTGTAGCTGTCATGCAGCTGTTACAGGAGGCACTATAGACAGCTGCAGTCCACAGGACCCTGGGCTGGAACAAGGAGTAGAGGGCGGGCCCGGGTTCCCCCCAGAACCTCCCAATTGACCTGGACTGTGGGTTCTTCCAGAGGGGAAGGTTTCTGGGCTGTTCCCCAACCCACATGGTGAATCTCTGAGGCAAGAAAATCCGCCAATAAGCGCAGGACCCACCAAGATAGAGGAGGAACTTTGTCACACTGATGTTAGGAGTGGGATCTTGGGGTGCACAGCGCGGCGGAAGAAGGAGGGTGATTTAAAAAAAACAAAAACTAAAACAAAAAACTAAAACAAAAAAAAGGGAGAGGGTTTATTTTTTTCACCACAATGGATGACGTAGTGTGGGCACTGATACAAGCTACGGCGGCCCAGCAGGAGGCTATCCGTGTCCAGGCAGCCACCCAACAGGAGGCAGTACGGCTGCAGCAAGAGACTAATCGCCTGCTGATGGATCAGGCTGCTCAAGACCGAGCTATGTTGCGGGAACTGGTAAACCAGGTAAAATCCCTTACAGAGCTGAATCGCGGCCATGATGGGATGCGGCTCATACGGGCCAGCCATTGGCTGCAGAAAATGACACAGGAGGATGATGTAGAGGCATACCTTCTGGCCTTTGAGAGGACAGCCCTACGGGAGGCCTGGCCTTGAGATCAGTGGTCTGGCATCCTTGCCCCATTCCTGTGTGGGGAGGCCCAGAAGGCCTACCATGATCTGCCTGAAGAGGCTGCGGCAGACTACCCCCAGCTGAAAGCCCAGATCTGGCCAGGATCTCTGGTAACGACAGGAGTGCGGGCCCAGCTGTATCACGGTTGGAGGTACCAGGAAGACAAAACCCCGCGGTCCCAATTGTATGACCTCATCCATCTCGCACGAAAGTGGTTGCAAACAGAGTCCCGGAGTCCGGAAGAGATACTAGTGGTTCTGGTCATCGATGGATACATGAGGGGACTACCACCAGACCTTCGTGCCTGGGTAAGCCAGAACGAAACCTCCACCTATGATGAGGTTGTCGCCCTGGTAGAGAGGCAAAGGACAGCGAGGGAGCTGACCCGACCAGTTAAGGAAGAGGCACACCGGGTTAAACTAGCAGCACCAAGCCCTAAAGTTCGGGTGACTGGGCCACCAGGAGGGCCCAGGTGGAAAAAGAGAGAGGCTGAAGGCCCATCAGAGGCCACAAAGAGTCAGAGCACTGAGGGAGAAGAGGATCGTGATGTTAGACTGCCCAAACCAAGAGACCGGGGAACGCCTAGGGCTCCATACAGATGTTATGCCTGCGGGGAGTGGGGACACATAGCTGCACAGTGTCCCAATGCTGAGGAGCCTATGCAGTGTAACCTGGGGAACTGGACAGATCCATGCTCCCTAATCCACCTTGTGGGGATCTCACTAACCCACATATGTATACCAGACCAGTGAAACTAAATGGGGTAGGGACCACGGCACTGGTTGGTTGATTCGGGGACTGCTATCACGCTTATCTCAGGGAAGCTCGTGAAGCGTAGTCAACTGCTGCAGGCTAAACGTACGGGGATAACATGTGTCCATGGGACAGTTAGTTACTACCCCACCATCCCGGTAAAAATTGAGATCCAAGGGAATGCTACTGAGGTAGCAGCAGGTGTAGTCCCTAAACTCCCATACCCGGTGCTCATAGGGTGGGACTTCCCAGGGTTTGGAAACTTACTCCCAGTAGGGGGATTGGAGAAAGATGGGGACCCTAAAATTGGTGAGGCGTCCACAGCAGACTGTCAACCCCCAATCTTCTCTGAAATATCCCCAGATTTGTTCTCCACTCCCAGACAGGGTAGAAAGACAAAAAGGGAAAGAAGGGCAGCTAAGGCCTTGGGAACCCGAATATTGACCCAAAGCCAGAGGGTCCCTCTTGTAGGTAGGCAGACCCATGCAGCTGAAAAGGAGGCCACGCAGGAGGGAGAAGCACCTGAGTCTGACCCCCACCCTAATGCTTCTGAACCAGTAGAGGCAACAGAGACTGGGCCCCTAGATCTTGGGCAGATTAGCCCCGGGAGAGGAAATTTTGGACGGGACCAGGCAGAAGACCCAAGGTATCACAACATTAGGAAGGAGGTGACTGAAATAGATGGGGTCCCCGTGGAAGGAAAAACCCAGGGACCAGGACCCTACTTCATAATGAAGAAGGATCTCTTATACCGGGTTGCACCAGTACAGGGGCAGAAGGTACAGCAGATCCTAGTACCTCAAAAACACCAGAACGCTGTATTAAGTCTTGCTCATAGTCATCTTTTTGGGGGGCATTTGGGGGTAGAGAAGACCCTGGCACGAGTCCTACGACGGTTCTTCTGGCCCGGAGTACATGAAGAAGTGCGGAGGTACTGTGCCTCCTGCCCGGAGTGTCAGCTGCACAGTCCCTGTCCCCACTTGAGGGCACCTTTAGAACCCCTTCCCATCATAGAGGTCCCCTTCGAGCGAATAGCCATGGACCTAGTGGGACCCCTGGAGACCCCTGGTGGCTCGGGGCCACCAATATATACTTGTTGTTTTGGACTATGCTACTCGCTATCCAGAAGCTGTCCCCCTACGGAACACAGCCTCTAAAACTATAGCCAAAGAGCTGCTGGGGATCTTTGCCCGAATGGGGCTACCGAAGGAGATATTAACCGACCAAGGAACCCCATTTATGTCGAAGCTAATGAAGGACCTCTGTACGCTGCTCCATATACATACCCTGAGAACTTCGGTCTACCATCCGCAGACTGATGGGTTGGTAGAAAGGTTTAACCGAACCCTCAAGGCTATGATAAGGAAGGTGGTAAGTCGGGACGGGAAGGATTGGGACACCCTACTACCCTACCTTATGTTTGCTATCCGGGAGGTACCTCGGGCCTCAACTGGGTTTTCCCCCTTCGAGTTATTATACGGGCGTCACCCCCGTGGCATACTAGATATCGCCAAAGAGATCTGGGAAGAGGAACCCAATGAGGGGAGAAATATAATAGAGCATGTAATGCAGATGCGAGACCGGATAGCCCGGGTTACCCCTATTGTACGGGAACATTTGGAGAAGGCACAGGAGGCCCAGCGAACCCATTACAATCGCCAAGCAAAAGTGCGACAGTTCCAACCAGGGGATCGGGTTATGGTGTTGGTACCCACGGCAGAAAGCAAGCTTCTGGCCCAATGGCAGGGGCCCTATGAGGTGGTTGAACCCGTGGGTGAAGTAACCTACAAGGTGCGGCAGCCAGGACGCAGAAAACAAGAACAGATTTATCACGTTAACCTTCTGAAACCCTGGCATGCACAAGAGGCATGCACAATGGTCTAAAAAGACCTAACCCAGGAAAACAAGCCTTCCAAACAGGTGATAGTGTCTCCCGATTTAACACCAGACTAGAAGAATGAGGTGTCTGAGATGATCTTTCGGAACCAAGATGTGCTCTCGACAAAACCGGGTCGAACAACCGAGACATATCACCACATCGTCACGAACCCTGGGGCCAGAGTAACAATGAGGCCATATCGGGTGCCAGCGGCAAAAAGGGAGGAAATAAAAGCAGAAGTAAAAAAAATGCTGGAGTTGGGGATCATCGAAGAATCCCACAGTCAGTGGTCCAGCCCAATCGTGCTGGTGCCCAAACCTGATGGCTCCACAAGATTTTGCAACG